CAGCTCAACCCTAGAACATAATCCAGGCAAATCCAACCTTGAGTTCTTGTTATCTTTTGTCTTCCCAGGGACGTTCAACAAAGTATTGATGATGTTGTCAAAGAAATTCTTCTCTATATGCATCACATCAAGACTGTGTCGCAGGAGTAGATCTTTCCAATATGGAAGTTCCCAAAATATACTCTTTTTGTGCCAATTATGTTGTGTCCCATAACCGTCGGGCATATTTGCAGGAGTGTGCCAACTACCCCCTCTGCTAACTGTGTCTAGTGCTCCATAGTAATCAATATCTTTCTCGATTTCTTCTCCAGTTAAATAGGGTGAAGCGGTGTCCCTTACAACCCTCTTTGACCGAAACAATTTCTTTTTCCTTCAGTACGGATGGTTAATGGGAAGAAATCTTCGATGACAATCAAACCAGGAAGTTTTCCTACCATTCTTCAGCTGAAATGCGTCTGTGCTTCCCATACAATAAGGACAAGATAGTCTACCATGCGTCGCCCAACCTGACAACATCCCGTATGCAGGAAAGTCACTAATGGTCCACAAAAGAACTGCTCGCATTGTGAAGTTTGTTTTTGTTGAACAATCATATGTTTGCACGCCTGTTGACCATAATTCCTTCAACTCTTTAATCAAAGGCTGTAAAAAAACATCCAGTTACCTCTTTGGATGCTTTGGTCCAGGTATCAATATACTCATGAAAAGCAATTCCTTTGCATTACACATCTCTGGAGGAAGGTTGTACGGTGTCAAGAAGACTGGCCAAAGCGAGTATTGTCTTCCAGACATTCCAAATGGACTAAAGCTATCTGTACAGAGTCCAAGATAAACGTTCCGGGGGTTACTTGCAAAAATCAGGGTACACCGAATTCAAGTGTTTCCACGCTTTTGCATCAGAGGGATGATTTATCTCGCCTTCTTTCTGGGTATGTTCCGTATGCCATCTCATTGATGATGCCGTCTTCTCAGATTGATATAATCTCTTCAGTCTATCCTTAATGGATAAGTACCACATCTGCTGGTACGAAACCCTATTCCATCCACGTCCTTGCGGTTTATATCACGGCTTCTTGCAAAATTTACACTCTAACAATTCGACATCATCTCCCCAGAAGATCATACAGTTGTCTATACAGACATCTATCATCTCTGAAGGCAAGCCAAGACTATGAACAAGTTTCTGAATCTCATAATAAGATTCAGCAGACAAATTATCTCCAGGCAAATACTCTTTAAACAACTCAGCCCATGCATCCATACAAACTTCAGGTAAGTTATGATCAGTTTTGATATTCATCATCGTAGCAGCCAATGATAATTTAGAAAGACCTTCTCTACAACCTTCATAAATTGGCTCATTAGCTGCTGCTCGCATTTCGTAAAACCTTTTTGCATCCAAGTTAGGCCCCTCTACATTTTCTACCTCCTCTATAATAGATGTTGTTTCACGAAATGCATCTGTGACCATATCATGCATCCTATCATGATCTACCATATGATGATCCTCTTGAAGGTAACTTTCAGAAAGCAAATGTGGTTCCTCTCTGTTATGAACTATTTCAACCTGATTNGATCTACCATATGATGATCCTCTTGAAGGTAACTTTCAGAAAGCAAATGTGGTTCCTCTCTGTTATGAACTATTTCAACCTGATTACTACTACTAGCTTCATTCCTATTATCACCTTCTCTGTGGTTATACCAGATATAGTAATGTGGAGTAAATCCTCTATTTACTATATGTTTCCAAACCGTTTCACTAGCAGCAAAATTCGCATTGTTGCATTTACGACAAGGACAGAACATTTTACCCGTTTCGTGTGTGAGAGACGTTTGTCCGGCCTGGTTCATGAACATCTCTGCTCCGTTGAGAAATTCATCAGTTACTATTCCTCTTGAATCTTTATGTGCATACATCCAACTCCAGATCTCATAAATATTTCTAGACATTTTTTAAAAAGTTTTCTGTTTTTTTTTTCGTTTTAAGAATGAGGAAGAAGATCATATTTATAGAGAAATTTCGATTTTGGTAGGTAGTTAACTTAGTAGTTAAACAGATGCAAAATAGATGCAAAACAGTTAGTCGTAATCTGGTAGCACTTTTACGACCAATTTACAACCAAATAGTAGTTAATTGGTGGTAAAATATATTAGATGTATATTAGTCGTAAAATTACAACCAAAGAGTGAAAAATGTCCTTTACGACCAATTAGGGACTACATTTGTAATATATTTTTTTAAAAAGAGAGACGAAAGACACTGGAATCACAAGTCCATAGATTCTAAGCGAAACCAACGTTTCAATGTTAGTCCCGCATTAATCTTTTTGGAGTTGTGATCCCAGTGTCTTTTTTCTCTCTTTTTCTTACATTTTTAAACTCTTCGACTCAATTATCAACTCTCTTTATTAATATATTTCAAAATATTAGTTTAGAAATATTTGAAAAAGAAGAGAAGAAAGATACTAGAATCATAATTCCGTGGATTCTATGCGAAACCAACGTTTCAACGTTCGTCTCGCATTGATCTCTTCGGAGTTTTGATCCGAGTACCTTTCTTTCCTCTTTTTCAAATCTTTCAACTCTATATCTAAAATATTTTAAAATTTTTGTTTGTCTTTTGGAGAAAACGATGGTTCTTTTATAGGGAACATTATGACTACCTAGCTTCGAATATTTACGACTAATTAGCATCTTGTTCCATCATTTAGTCGTAATTGAGTCGTACATTACGACCAATTAGCATCAACTTACCATTAAAGCCTTGACCGAAATCCTAAACACGTGTGATCATACACTAGGCGTAATTTAACGACCAGATTACGTTTACACGGACACGTGGTCGTATATTGGTCGTTATGTTACGACTAATGTACGTCTAGTGGTATTGGTATCAAGTTAACCTCTGTTTTACGACTAATGCTTTTTTAGACGTAATGTAGTCATAAATGAGATGGTTAATTACGACTACACATTTGTAGTCGTAATACCTAGTCGCTATAACAGCGTTTTCTTGTAGTGTTTGTTTTGTTACCTTGAGGTCGATCCAAATAAATGATGTCCCAATATACTGTTTATTATTTATGTGGTCAAAAATCCGCCACATACGACATATACGTACAACTTTAGGTGACATCGTTAGCTAACTGCCTCTTATAAAATAACAGCAAATACATGTGATTATTGGTAAACCAAAAAATATATCAGCATACAAAATGCAATTCTAATGTTTATTTGTAACTATAATTTGAAATCACTAAACTAACTCAGCTTTGATTTAGGAGGAGAAGTTTATGTAGTCTAAAAATGTGAACAGTGATAATCCACAATATAACTCCTTCGGTTTTCATTACACCATTTGCTATCCTATTAAGACTGTGTGATCACAATAGTTATATAAATATAATAGGCCAACTACTGAAGGACATACCAAAGGCTAAACAACCGACTAATTTCATGTATGCGGGTAGACGATTTGTTAATTACTATTGGTAGAAGCAAGAAATAACCTCAGGTTAGATGTATCAACAACCAATGAACATATACGTCGAATACATTGATTAATTCAACATACCTGTTTCTGTTCTGGTGAGGAGCGTCGAGTCGTGTTGGGATTGAGAGAGGCTTTGAGACTGCGCCGTATGCGTAGAACATTAGCATGGAAGATTGTGAGGGTTTCCTGGGAAACAAAGTCATAAGCACGTAGGTTCAAAGCTAGACCGACTACTCCAAGAGCACTCATCCATAAACCAGTTACAAACAAAAAATTTGTGAGGCTAACTTATTTAATCTTATTAGTGAAACTGAATACTTAAAATTCAACAGATCCTTTGCTTTCTTCTTTTTTTTCTTGAAATGAAAAAAAAGTTTTAACCCCGTGGTTAGTTAGTTCATACAATGAATGAAAACTAAGCCAAATAGGATAATCTAAAACCTATAATATATATATATATATATATATATATACTTTTGTAGACCCTTTTTCCATTAAGTTTCCCGTACTTGATCGAACAACAAAAAACTCAGTTATTTCAACTACGTTAAATGATCTTTCAAATTGGTCAAGACTTTCCAGCCTATTCTTTATGGCCGCTTCTTTATGGTACCAGTTGTTGTTTCATTGAATTTGCCTCATTAATAGGCTTCCGATTTGACTTTGATCGTTATGGGCTAGTACCAAGATCAAGTCCTAGACAGGCGGACCTTATTTTAACAGCAGGTATAGTAACAATGAAAATGGCTCCAGGGAATTAGACAACTTTCCTTTTCTGTTGTATCAGTTGCGTATATATACGGTCATTCATAATGAGACTGTATTAGTTGCACCGGAAGACAATGCAATTGTACAAATTGAGTAGATATAATATATTATTTGGGCGGATGAGGATTGAAAGGGTTCCTTTAGCCTACTGAGAGAATAACTCTTGGTTATGCCCCTAAACCTGGGTTCGAATCAGAGTACTAACACGTTTGTTTTTACGACCAGTATTATTATCTTACAATAGGTTAACTTTTTAGGTTTTCAAAACATTAATACCTACCACGTCTTTTGGAAATAAATGGGCGTAAATAATTAAAAGTGGTTAGTTAGGGGAGACCATTTACAAAATAGTAAGTTAAATATTTATTTACCATCATTTATTAATATGGTTTTTATAATTGATCCTGCAACTTAGCATATATATATTGGTAATGTTGTTGCTGTATACAAACATTAATATAAAACAAACTTGGTGATCAATGGATTAGATTTAACCCCAAACAAACTTGGTATGAATGCATCAGATGTATCAAACGAAAAAACAAACCAAAAAAAGTTTTAAAAAAAAACAGATTGGAACACAGTACGATCAAAACCACATAAACAAAGATGTAACTCAACATCACCAGAAGCAAAATAGTTTATAACCAAGGTCTTAAAATGAAGCAAAACAAATCCATAAGTGAAGGAATGAAAGCATATAGTCTTTAACAAAGCACAACAATTATAAAGGTTATTAGCCACATTTGGCACGCTTGACCCCAACCAATTCAATCCCATCCGAACTCCTTTTGACCATCTCAGCTGCAGTATCCTCCATACCATCGTCACCTCCATTAGCAACATTTTCTCCTAAACCACCTTCAAGCTCTGCAACTTCAAGAGGTAACACTTTTGTGACAGTTAAGACTTGAGTCTTGCTGGTCAAGTTGTTGGTTGAGACCTTCACAATAAATTTCCTTGTCTGGCCAATAGTATCAACCAGAGCCTGCAGCACATGAACTAAGTCATCGGCTCCTACATTCTCATTAGCCTAACACACGGTTGTACATTGTCAGAAATCTTATTAAATATTGAGGCAGAAGTTTATATGTAGACCTCTGTTAAGGATTACCTCATAGTAGCTCTCAACTAACTCAGACGCTTTTTTCCCAGTCAACTCCTGGCCAGCATCACCAAGGAGAACAAATACGGCCTGTTCACTGTGGTCATAGACAGAGATTTTGGAGAGGTACCTGAGACATAAAAACATTAATAGTCAGTGAAAGCAAATTTTGCAGATAATTTAAAATAAGACAACTTACTGTGGCACACCAACAATGTCACTCTTCCCACATTTTTTGCACATAAGTGTTGTAGCCCATTTGGTTGCCTTAGTATGACACACAACGCATCCTATATAATACCACCCAGAACCGTGCACAACATCATCGATAGTGGCTATTCACTCAAACCAATCAACCTGCCAAAAAAGTTTAATAAATTAATGAGATATAGTATCTTAATGAATATGGCAGACAATGGGATAAACATACCTTAGCATCGGCCAGCTTCATATAAGAGAGTAGACCCTCTAGGGTCGCGGGCTGAGTCTTAGTGACCACTTGTGCTTCAACTCGATTAGCAACATCCTCGTTCGAGTTCAGCCTGAAAAAAATTGAGCAAAGCATTATAATAGTGGAGCAACTCAATTTATAGTTGAACACATAAATAATTTAGCCTTACCAACTGAGATAATACCGGGTCTCTTCGACATCACTGTCCATAAAAACCCGGGACGGTGTCATAGTACATAGAGATAGGGTGCCTATATTAGAAACAATGTCATAATGCAGAAGAAATTAAAAACAAATCATAAAATTGTTTACTCCTATCTAACAAAAGCAGATTTAATTCACTAAACATGATATTGCATCTTCATAAAATAGTAAGATTAAAATGGCATTACAAACCTCCAAATCGTTTTGGGTTTAACGCGGTGACCATGATAACCCTTGCATTGCTTGCAGAGGCTTTGAACTTGGCAAGGAAGTCAGACGCAGCCTTGTCCCACAGATACAACTTCATAATGGGATCGCTGCAACAATTTAAACTCACGTCTTTATATAAACAATATTTGAATATGGAAGTAGATATAAAACAACTTACTCATGGGTTTGAACATGAAGCAAAACCCGGCGAGTTGAAGCTATCTCCGCTTCATCAAGCTGAAGACTGGCATTCAGAATCTGCCCATTCACCAGCCCGATGTGGCCAATATAATCTGCAAGAGTAACCAAATCAGAGGCATAGCCAATCAATCAACAAAATACTAAAGCAATAGAAAATAAAAAATCTAAGATTAAATTAAATCACCAAACATATGGAACGTGAATATCCAGGTATGTTTCAATTCAACATCATGTCTGTTTGTACCGAGTTCGGTCGTATGTCAGTGAAATGAGTGACGGGACTCGTCGGTGGGTTATTACAAAGGTGTAGATCTAGATTAACCGAGTGAACAGGAGGTTTTATTTATAAACGGAGAGAGTACAAAGAGAATCCCGGCGCTCGGAAGCTCTGCCGAGATTTAGTTTGAGTTGGTTAAGACAACGGAATAAACCTAGCTATTTGCCCTAATCTATGCCGCCGTCTCTGTGTTCAGTTTCGGATCCCTCGCTTGTGCTCCTTCCCCTCCCTTTTATAGCTCAGATTCTTTGACCTTAACCTAGGTCGTTCTCGGCTCGTGGGCCTCCGGTATTGGGCCTGTAGTCGGCTCGATAACGCCTTTCCCTGCTGGTACGGACGCCACTCGGATATAAGCGAGTCTTTTNATAGCTCAGATTCTTTGACCTTAACCTAGGTCGTTCTCGGCTCGTGGGCCTCCGGTATTGGGCCTGTAGTCGGCTCGATAACGCCTTTCCCTGCTGGTACGGACGCCACTCGGATATAAGCGAGTCTTTTTGCCCTATTAACTGTTCGCCCTTGCCGGGCCGAATGTGATTTCCCGTGGGCCTTGAGGGGCGGGTACGGCCCACCTCCTACAGTAAGTCCCCCCAGTCTATTGACGATCGGTCGACGAGTCAATAGAATGAATCAATTAGGTTTACGGGAAAGCACACTCGGAGCGCGGGAGAGAGTTTCGAAAGCTCCCCCTTTTAGGCGAGGAGTTCAGCTCGGTAATCCTGGTGTAGGCCTCGGCTTCGATCCATAGTGCGGAGCATTTCAGTCGGGGAGTGGATCGTCGGTGCGTGTCGTTGACACTTGTCGCAACGTAGGGCGTAAGATATGCAGTCGGCTGTCATCGACGGCCAATAGAAACCGAGTTTCTTTATCTTGATTGCGAGGGCTCGACCTCCTGAATGATTCCCTGCTGCGCCTTCGTGCGTCTCGGCCATGACTAGGCGCGTCTCGTCGCCATGGATGCATCTGAGCAGTACTCTGTTCGCGGCTACTCGGTGCAGACGATCGTCAATTAGCACGTAACATGTGCTTTTTGCTCTGAGTCTCCGCGCTTTCCATTTATCGGGGGGCAGCGTGCCGTCCCGAAGGAAGTCGTGTAGCTCGGTCCTCCAGTCAGCAGCCGGGTCGTTCGCTTCGCTCGCGGGGGTTGAATGCGTCGAGTCATCGTCGGTGGGCAGGTTCTCCGTGGTGCGTGCGGAGGCTCGCGTTCGTACGGCCACTACGATACTACCGGTGGCCGGGTCGATGCTTGGTTCTTCGACCCTATGTATCGGGATCGTACGCTTCACTTGGTCTCGTATCTTGCTCCCTAACGCGGCTAGGGCATCGGCGCAGATGTTTTCTCCTCGCGGGACTTTGGTGAGTTCGAAGAATTCGAATTCCCGAGTGAGGTTTTTGACTAGTTGAAGGTACGCGTTCATGCGTTCATTCCGAGTGTCGTATTCACCGCTGAATTGACTAGTCACTAACTGAGATTCGGAATAAGCACTGAGGCGTTTCGCGTTGACCACTTTCGCCAATCAGAGGCCCGCGATTAAAGATTTGTACTCGGCCTCATTGTTTGAGGTCGGGAAGCCAAAACTGAAGGATTGCCGAATCAGCTCACCTGTTGGAGATTGGAGCTGCACGCCGGCTCTGGATCCTTCGTTGGTAGCTGATCCGTCAACGTGAAGTATCCAGTTTCCCTTAGGTAATGCGAGTTCCTGGATGAGTTCTTCTTCGAGATGTTTTGGCAGCTCGATAATAAAATCTGCTAAGACCTGAGACTTGGCGGCGGGACGTCCTTTGAACACGACGTCGTGCTCGCTCAACTCGATTGCCCATTTGGACAGTCGGCCCGACTGATTGGTGTTTTGCATGACTGTCCGGAGAGGATAGTTTGTTAGGACTTCAATAGTGTGGGATTGGAAATATGGCCGGAGTTTTCGTGCGGATGTGATTACTGCCAGAGCCATTTTCTCGAGTGTCGGATAGCGCATTTCGGGCTCGGTCATACGCTTACTGGTATAGAATATCGGCTTTTGTTCTCCGCGATCGTCCTTGATTAGGACACTGCTGACTGCGGTTGTGGAGACTGCGATGTAGAGGGAGAGGATATCGCTGGATTCGGGTTTCGAGAGAACTGGGGGCGTGGTGAGGTACTGTCTCAACTGCGCGAATGCTGCTTCGCAGCTCTCGTCCCAGATGAAACGCTTGTTTCCTCGAAGAAGTTCGTAGAACGGAAGGCACTTATCCGTTGACTGGGATATGAACCTATTTAAGGCTGCGATGCGGCCGGTTAGGCGTTGGACTTCGCGGCTGTTTCTCGGACTAGGAAGGTCGAGGATCGCCGAGATTTGCTTTAGGTTGGCCTCGATCCCCCTTTGTGTCACGATGTACCCCAGGAACTCGCCGGAGGTGACCCCGAATGTGCATTTGGCCGGGTTTAACTTCATGCCGTATTCGTTTAACGTTTGGAAACATGCTGCGAGATGCTCCGGGTGGTCTGCAGCGCGGAGCGATTTGACCAACATATCGTCGATATAGACCTCCATTGTTCGGCCGAGGTCTTTCGCGAACATCTTGTTGACGAGACGTTGGTAAGTCGCGCCGGCGTTCTTCAGCCCAAAAGGCATGACCTTGTAGCAGTAGGTTCCTCTATCTGTGATGAACGCAGTTTTCTCTCGGTCGTCGGGATACATAGAGATTTGATTGTAACCGGAAAATGCGTCCGTGAACGTTAACAGCTCGTTCCCGGCAGTCGATTCTACCAAGCGGTCGATGTGGGGGAGCGGGAAGCTGTCCTTTAGGCAGGCCTTGTTGAGATCGGTAAAGTCGACACAAACACGCCACTTGCCGTTTTTCTTTTTGACGACAACTGGGTTGGCTAACCACTCGGGGTACCGAACTTCTGTAATTGAGCCGGCTGCGAGTAGGCTTTCAACCTCTTCGTTTACCGCCTTGGATCGTTCGGGTCCCTGTTTTCGTCTCTTCTGCCTGATCGGTTTAAAAGTTGGGTCGGCGTTCAACTGGTGCGAGGTGATTGAGGGGTCGATTCCCTTCATGTCTGACGTCTCCCAGGCAAAGGTCGATTGATTGGCTCGCAAGAACTCGACGATGTTGCGCTTCATTTCGTCCGGTAGGTAGGCCCCTACTCGAACTACCTTGCTCGGGTCGTTGTCATCGAGCTGAACTTCTTGGATCTCCTCTTTTTGGGGATAGATTTTGTGTATCGGTTTGGCGGTTACATTATTTACTTGGCGCGAAATTTGCTTGATATTTGCAACAAGTAACGCGCGAGCCGCTTCCTGATCACCACGAAGCGTGCGGATGCTTCCGTCGTTGCCTGGGAACTTGATGCACTGGTGGCAGGTGGATGAAATCGCTCTCATTGAGTGTAGCCAAGGCGTTCCTAGTATTACATGATACGGGGCACCCGTACCAATTATAGAGAATTTGACAGTTCGTGCGACACCCCCGGTGTTTACCGGAAGGCGGATAGTGCCGAGCATGTCTTCAGATGCGCCATTGAATCCGGTCAAGGAACGAGTCGAGGGCTTGATGAGTCGGAGATCGACTCCCATCTTCTCGAGGGTATTGTAGAAAATCAGGTCGACGGAACTACCCGTGTCGATGAGGACTTTAGTTACCTCACAGTCGACGATTCCTACTTCAATTAACAGTGGATCATTGTGAGGCATGTGTACCCCGAGGGCGTCTTCGGCGGAGAACGTGATTCGGGGCTCGTCTGGAGGTAGAACATGCCAGACTCCGGAGGACTTCGCACGCTTTTGGTCGGTTTGTACGGAACGTACTGAATCGTCACAGGGCTGTGAGCCCCCCATGATGAAATTTAGCCGAGTGCATGCCTCCGAAAGCGGGTCAGACTTGGCGAGGGACTTAATCGTATCTAAATGCCTGCGTAGATCGAGCTGCTTTGATTGATTAAGCGTTTCCCGGAGGTCTTTCTTAGCGGAGTTCAACTTATCCCGGAGGTCGACAACTTGCGCTTCTGGTGTGACTCGGCGGGTTTTGCAACGGTTTATGGTGTCTCGGAGGTCGTGGGAGGCATCCGGTGTGCGGGCCAAACGTCGCGTGGTGAGGAGTGAACGTAGGTCTCGGGATTCGTTCTCGTCATCAGATGAAGACTCGGGGCCGGTTAGTATGACCTGGATCCTTTTTCTGTTCCTCCTCGGGGGGCGGTTCATCGCGATCGCGGGGCTCGGTTTTCTCCTCAGGTTTTGATGCGTCCTCTTTCGCTTTGCTGGGTGTGCCGGACGGTTTCTGCCCTCTTTTATCCTTGTTCTTGCTCCAGCTATTATTCCCTTTCGGACGCGGCTTTGGAGGGTCTGTTGGGATTTCACCGCGGGAGTATTTTCCGAACAGTATCACCTTGAGCTGCTTGCAATCCTTTGAGTCGTGCGCTCTGGATTTGTGGTATGAGCAGTATGGTTCGCGCTCATCGGTGTCAAGTTTCTGGGACGTTGGTTCACCCGGTTCATCGTCCTCCTTTCGGTTGTAGTGATTCCATCCTTTGGCGCGAACTACAACTGTCGAGTCGGAGATGGCGTTCTCGTCTACCATGTAGACAAAGCTCTTCTTCTTCGGCTGTTTTTCGTCCGCCGAGTGTTGTCTCGGCTCCTGCTTTGAATCGGAGGTCTTGCTCGGCGTTGGTTTGCTCGCATGCTACTTACTTATCATCGCCTTGGTATCTTCTTCCATTCGGATGAAGTTGTTTGAGCGTGCGATAGCGTCCTGGAGCGATGTCGTTGGGTTGCGATAAAGGTCTTCTCGGAACTTCGAGTGGATGTAAAGCGTATTTTTCAGGGCGTCCACTGCGATGTTGTCGGGGACGTCTACCTTGGACACGACTTCCTTGAATTTCTCCATGAAATCTCTCAGGGTCTGACCGTGCAACTGAGATAGCTTCCACAGATCGGAGGCGGTGGCTTTCTGGTTAGTGAACATGATGTAATGCTTCAAGAAGGCCGTTGAGAGGTCACGAAAGGTGTCAATGGAGTTCTCCGGTAGGCGTGAGAACCAGTTCAGCGCAGCCCCTTCGAGGCTCTCAACGAACCGCTGGCAAAAGCCGGCGTCTCGCTCAGCGTCGGTGAAGTTTGCTCGGCCCATGGCGATGTTGAATGCCGTCATATGTTCCGATGGGTCGTCAGTGCCGTCAAAGGTAGGCAGGCGGATTTTCTCCGTGATTCGTAGCCGGACGTCGGTAATGCGGCGAGGGAAGGGTGTACGGAGGGCGGTTGCGAGGACCTTGTCTATCTGAGGAGCTGCACTCGTCACGTGGTGGATCTGAGAGTGAATCTCTTGAAGTGCGAGTTTCAACTCGGCGATCTCCCGAATGGTTCGCAGATCTGGGTTGTCTGCCGGTTGAACGGTGTCAACCGGGGTGTAAGTCGGCTGGATGGGTTGGTTTGCCGGAGTAGGAGTAGGGTTTGTGTTGAAAAGAAATCGGCGAGCCGTCGAGAGATTTCCGTCTGGGTTTGCGAGTGCGGCGGCGATGGCTACAAGGTGCTCGTTAGTCGTCTTTTGAACCTCTTCTTGGTGAGCAAGGCGAGCCAAGACGGAATCCATGAGGGTATCAGGGTTCGGAACCGGTGGAGTTTCCTCCGTTTGCACGTCGGAAGGAGCTTCTTCGTTCATCTTTATATCACACTACTTTGTTATGCCCCACGGTGGGCGCCAACTGTTTGTACCGAGTTTGGTCGTATGTCAGTGAAATGAGTGACGGGACTCGTCGGTGGGTTATTACAAAGGTGTAGATCTAAATTAACCGAGTGAACAGGAGGTTTTATTTATAAACGGAGAGAGTACAAAGAGAATCCCGGCGCTCGGAAGCTCTGCCGAGATTTAGTTTGAGTTGGTTAAGACAACGGAATAAACCTAGCTATTTTCCCTAATCTATGCCGCCGTCTCTGTGTTCAGTTTCGGATCCCTCGCTTGTGCTCCTTCCCCTCCCTTTTATAGCTCAGATTCTTTGACCTTAACCTAGGTCGTTCTCGGCTCGTGGGCCTCCGGTATTGGGCCTGTAGTCGGCTCGATAACGCCTTTCCCTGCTGGTACGGACGCCACTCGGATATAAGCGAGTCTTTTNATAGCTCAGATTCTTTGACCTTAACCTAGGTCGTTCTCGGCTCGTGGGCCTCCGGTATTGGGCCTGTAGTCGGCTCGATAACGCCTTTCCCTGCTGGTACGGACGCCACTCGGATATAAGCGAGTCTTTTTGCCCTATTAACTGTTCGCCCTTGCCGGGCCGAATGTGATTTCCCGTGGGCCTTGAGGGGCGGGTACGGTCCACCTCCTACAGTGTCCTACTTTATAATAATTTACTAATCTAAAGAAAAATAATAATTCAGAGAACTATAACCAGTAACCAACATAAACAACGGTGGGGGACGAAATTAAGATCTTACCATAGAGGTCCCCTCTCAAGTCACAAGCAGCTTCAAATTCTGTGTAACCATGGAAACGAAACAGGTCCTCAGGGAAACAAACTGATGTGTCCTCAAGAACAGTGAGGACAGAGTTCCAAGAGAATGTAATAGTTGCAAGTGGTTCAGTAACCCGGTACAAATTCTTGTTTTTGGAGCCGTAAAACTTGTTAAGTCTGTATGTACCACCGGCTCTCAACCTTGGCAAATAAGTCGCAACCCTTCCTTGTGGGATAAAGCCTTGGATAACAATCTCCTGTTCAAAGACAAAATTAGAGAAGCTATACATTAGATTTTTAAATAAGATCAGAAACTATTAAGAAATGTAAACCCACATCGTACAATAACAAAATTACAATGACTCAACTAAGAAAAATTTAAGTCTAACCTAATCCATTTCGGAGTATGTTAGTTTCTGCGGTGCTATGAAAACAGTTGTATAGCAAATAGCTAATAAGAATAAAGTGATCGGTCCAACTTAAACCGCTTGACAAACTAAGCCTTCCTGAATTGCCATCGTGATGATCATATATATACTACTATGATTTCTCAGGATATGAACTAAATAAAGTTTTAGAATTCAACATTTTATTAAAAGAAACTTATACCTCATCATCGATGAGCAGCATCTCCAGGCCGATCAAGACCTTCGACTGAATATTTCTTGCCTCCCAAAAGTGGATTAAGCGAAATCTCACCTCACCTTCAAGGGGCCCAAACCAACGTCTATGAATGACATCGGCTTTTCAACGTTGTCGGAAATGACACCTTTCCCCTTGTCAGCGGAGGACACGGCAACTTTTCCGGAAGAGACGACGACATTCCCAATTACATCAGTGGAGAGATCGGAATAGCCAGCGGTTTTACGGATACGTTTGGCCAGGATGGAGGAGGAGAGCGTCGAGTTGCTTGTTGCTTTCAACAGATTCTGATCACCGGAGGACGACATGGCAATAGATTATGGATAAGACAGAAGGACTTTTGATGAAGGAAGCAGAATCTGACTACGCGGCTTATACAGAAATTCACTGCGAGAATTCGAAAGGATCCCGTTAAATAGATTAAAGAGAGTGAATAATTGGAGGGTTTATTGATGAAATGCAGAAACGGAAACTGGAAAGAGGGAAGGGAAAGGGATAACGATGAGTCGAGCCTAAACTCAGGAATGGGAGGAATGGGGAAAGGGATTCGCAGAGAGAAAGGGATTAGGGCAAGACATCTTTGTGTGAAACGACGTCACTTTAGTAATAAGCTTTCATTTGAGCAAGAGATTTTGAGACTAAACGGCCGAAAACATTTAAAACCCAGCAAAAATAAGTTATGGCCTTGTCGAAAAATAAACGGGCTTGCAATTCATTTAACTACCAGATGACATGGACAAACGTTAAAAGCCTATTAGTGGAATATTTTTGCACACGTGGATAGCTTTTCCAAGTCTCATATCCCCTTTTAATACATGTTTGATATCTGGCAAGGAATCAACAGCGTGACGTTTTTTTATTTGTTAAACAAACTACTTGTTGTTTTAAACAAAATTGCATGCTGTTTTTTTTGAAGTTTAAATGGCAAAGCGTTGGATTTAACTGGGTCCTAAAAAATATGATGTTCTTTGTCAAAACCATCCGCTTTACTTTAGTTGGACTTGAAAGGAGAAGACTTTGAACCGTTCTTGGCTTTGTTTTTCTCCATTGGAGACAAACATAGAAGGGCCTGAGAGGAAAAAGAAAAGGAGACAACTTTAGAGAATGAGAGAGGGGATGAAATAGGTTTCTGTTTAATATCATCTCTGAAGAAGATATGAATCATAAATCTATAGGAGCCGAAAAATTGAATTGACAGTAACGATATAAATTAAAACGATGTTAAGGAACTAAACGATTGGAAAGACGATATGAAACCGATTACGAAAACGTTTTATAAAACCGGCATGGAGTTGAGACGAATCTCTTTTCTTAACTCTTAATATTCGCTCCGCAGTGAGACAGACTTAACTCTTTTCTTAACTCTTAATATTCAACTCTTAACGACCACCGGTTTTCCCCCCTATGAACCTACATCTTGGGATCGCCAGTCATGATAGGTAGGGTTGCAATCAAACATCTTCATTTGTAATAGGCTTTAAACCCATTTCTTTTGATGATGTAGCAACAATATCTCGTGGCAAACCTTTAGTAAATGGATCTGCTAGGTTGTCAGCTGATTTGATGTAGTCTATTGTGATTAGACAAGTTGAGATAAGTTGTCTAATGGTTTTATGTCGTCTTCTGTTGTGACGAGATTTACCATTGTAGAGATTATTCTGAGCCCGGGCTACAGCAGATTGACTATCACAATGTATGCGTATAGCTGACACAGGTTTCTCCCACATATGGATATCTTCCAAAACATTTCTAAGCCATTCAGCTTCTTCTGCAGCTTTGTTTAAGGCTATGAACTCAGATTCCATGGTGGATCTGGCTAGAACTGTTTGTTTTGTAGATTTCCATGATATTGCTGCTCCTCCTAGTGTAAAGACATATCCACTTGTGGATTTTGAGTTTATAGAATCTGATATCCAGTTAGCGTCACTGTATCCTTTGAAAATTGTTGGTTCTTTACCATAGTGAAGCCCAAAATCTTTGGTGTAGCGCAAGTAATTGAGTACTCTCGTTATAGCTTTCCAATGTGTGACTTGGATTACTTGTATATCGACTGAGTAAGTTTACTTCATGCGCTAGATCTGGTCTGGTGCAATTGGTCAAGTACATGAGACTTCCAATCACACGTGCATACTCGTTTTGTGAAACCACTTCCCCTAAGTTCTTCGTCAAGTGCATTTGGGGATCTAACGAAGTTTTTGCTGTGCAATTAGAGTAATTTTTAAATCTTTCCAATATTGTTTCAACATAATGAGCTTGGGTTAATGTAATTCCTTTTGAATTTCTTGTGACTTTAACTCCGAGAATTACATCTGCTATTCCAAAGTCTTTCATCTCAAATTTCCCTTTGAGCATGTTCTTTGTTTGATTGATAATGTCTTTATTGCTTCCAATAATAAGCATATCATCTACATATATACATAGCAAAACATACGCATTTTTGGTAGTTTTGTAATATATGCATTTGTCACATTCATTAATTTTGAAACCATTTAACATCATTGTACTGTCAAATTTTTCGTGCCACTGTTTAGGAGCTTGTTTAAGCCCATAAAGTGACTTTAATAGTCGGCATGCTTTGTCTTCCTTTCCAGGAATGACAAAACCCTCAGGTTGTTTCATGTAAATTTCCTCTTCTAAATCACCATTTAGAAAAGCGGTTTTTACATCCATTTGATAGATTTCTAGGTCTCTTAAGGCTGCGAATGCTATCATCAGTCTTATTGATGTTATTCTCGTTACTGGAGAAAATGTATCAAAATAGTTGTGGCCTTCCTTTTGTCGGAATCCTTGAACTACAAGCCTAGCTTTGTATTTTTCACCAGGTTTTCGCGTCATTATCCATTTATTTCCTAATGATTTGCAGCCAGGTGGTAAATCTGTTATGTACATGTATAATTTTGCATGATAGAATCATATTCACTTCTAACAGCTTCGTTCCAAAACGGAGCTTCTGGTGAAGTCATGGCCTCTGCCAAAGTTTTTTGGAACATTTTCAACTAGAAATACCATTAAGAAATCTTCTCCAAAAGATTTTTCCTTTCGAACTCTTTTGCTCCTTCTAGGTTCATCTTTTTCATTTTCTAAAATATCATTTGTAGAAATCTCGATATTTGTCTCAGTTTCTGAATCATTGTCGTTGTTTCTTTCTTCTCGAGTTCCTTTTGAACCTTGTTTTTCCTTGCATGGGAAAATATTTTCGAAGAAATATGCATTTCTTGATTCCATTACTTTATTTTCATGAATATCTGATATTTTAGATTTATGTTCCAGAAATCGATAAACCCTACTGTTAAGTGAATATCTAAGGAAGATGCAATCTACTGTTTTAGGTCCAGTAGTGACCTTTTTTTGGGGCGGTACCACAACTTTTGCCAAGCACCCCCACACTTTGAAGTATTTTTACAATGGTAAATTACCTTTTCATAATTCATATGGATTTTTGCTAATTACTTTTTGTGGAATTTTGTTGAGGATATAATTAGTGGTAAGCAGCGCTTCCCCCCACATGTTTTGGGGTAACCTACATTCCTGCAACATTGCGTTCATCATCTCTTTTAGAGATTGATTTTTGCGTTCAGCAACTCCATTAGATTCTGGTGAGTGAGGGGCTGTAGTTTGATGGATTATTCCAATTTCTTTTCGGAATTCATTGAATCGCCCATCATACTCGCCTACTCTATCACTTCTAACTATCTTAATAGTTGTTTTAAGCTGATTTTCTACCTCAAGTTTAAATTTTTTAAATTTTTCTAAGGTTTCATCTTTGCTACGTAATAAGTATACATAACAATATTTTGTGCAGTCATCTATAAAGGTCACAAAGTACTTTTTACCACCTCTAGTTTGTATGCATTTTATGTCACATAAATCGGTGTGAATTAAATCTAGAGGTTTGTTAGTTCTTTCAACATGAGGTGAGGGTGTTTTTGTGAGCTTAGCTTGTACGCATACTTCACATTTTTGTTTACTTGTTTTATATTTTTGGATTAGATTTAGATTCATTAATCTTTGTATTGATTTATAGTTCACATGGCCTAATCTTTCATGCCAAATATTAAAAGACTCAACCAAATAAGCAACTGGCTATTTCTTATTCATTGAAACTTTTGGAGCTACAACTTTTGCAATGATTGTCATTACATTCATTTTGGCCAGTTCATCTTTAACATACCCCTTTCCCAAATACATCCAATTCTTCCTAATCACGAGCTTTTCCGTCTCAAGAGATGTGGCAAATCCATTATTGCTGAGCAAGGTTCCCAAAACCAGGTTCTTCCTCATGTCAAGCACATGCTTCACATTCTGCAGAGTGACTTCATGTCCAGATGTCATCTTTATAACCACTTTGTCGTGGCCTTCAATCTTGGAGACTGCTTTGTTACCCATGAACAGCTTCTCCTGAGTCTTGCTTTTCTGATAGGTGCTGAACATCGCCCTATCAGTGCAAATGTGGGAACCACCATTCCTTAAAGTAGTGACATTTTCCTTTGAATTTTTCCACATTCGCATTGATTTCAACGCCTTTCGTCTTGAAGTTTGGTCCAAAAGCCTTCAAGTTTGCAGCTGTTTTGGAAGGTTTGGCAGGAGAGTTAGTAATTCCCTTCCCTTTACCTTTTGTTTCAGCCATGTTGACAGTGTGATGTTTACCCTTGAGCAGCTTATCATCATTTTAGTTTTTGGATTCCATCTGAAGCCTCTGGAAGAGATCCTCAAGCCCCATCTTCTTCTTCTTGTGCTTCAAGTAGTTCTTGAAATCCGCATAGATTGGAGAAAACTTTTGGATGAAATTGAGAGTAGTGTATGTCTCGTAGATGGACATTCCTTCAACAACAATTTCATTGCAAATGAGCTGAAACGCTTCCACCTGATCCATGATTGGTTTTGAATCTACCATTTTGAAGTCATGGAATTTCGCAACTACATAGTTCTGGCAACCAGCGTCTTCACCTCTGTACTTCTTGTCCAGTGATGTCCAGAGCTCTTTCGCTGTTGGGATCTCACAATACACTTGGTACAGTGGGTCAATGAGGCGACCAAACATGTAGCCTTTGCAGATGAAGTCAGAATGCACCGAGATGTCAACACTTGCGAATGTGTGAACATCCTCAATCCCATGATGGATAATGGGTTTATCCTCTTGGATGAACTTATCCAACTTCATCATTGCGAGGAAGAACATCAGCTTCTTCTGCCACGTTTTGAAGCCTTTGCCATCAAATTTGTCTGGCATCAATCCTTGAGAGATGGCACCAGGAACAGCCGGAAGAGTCGCAACTGCAGCCGGAGCACTTATAGATCCTGGAATTAGACCCGTTTGATAAAGACCAGCACCAAACAGGTTACGGCGCATGGTTTCATCAGCAACATTGCCCACTGGTAAGGTAGGTCTGATGGTTTCAGCGGTTGACACTGTGATGTTACCAGCGGTTGTCACGGTAGCATCAGTTACTGCAGTGTTGAGTGGAGTTGAAACAATGGTGGGGTCCATGTTGGTGTTGTTAAGATACAACATTTTTCTTTCTGGGAGAAAACATGAAACGGATTAGTACTCGATTCAACATATAACATATTATTTTAAATAAAATAATAGTTTAGAATCGATTTTCATTTTTGGTATTTGAATCAAATCATATCGATACAAGTCTGAAATCATTTTGCAAATTCGCATTAGAGCGTTCGCAGAAACCGTTTCGTATAGACTTTTAGAATGTTTCACTAACTCGCTTAAGAAAGCGTTCGTGGAAACGATTCGAATAGGTAACATTTTAATAATGATGTACGAAAAAACGTTTAACGGAAGTGCTAAAATCAAACTACAAAAACGTTGATACTCGAAACAATAAACGTTACGCGGAGATGCTAATAGCAAATCGCAAACCCGTTTTATAATAAAACCAAACCGTTTTATAAATCCTTGAAGAATCGTTTATAAAATTGTAATAAATCAATCCGATTAAAGCTTATATATAATAGAAGCGATTAAGAGTTAAGACTGTAGGAGCCGAAAAATCGTATTGACAAAAACTATAAAAATTAAAATGATGTTAAGGAAATAAACGATTGGAAAGACGATATGAAACCGATTACGAAAACGTTTTATAAAACTGGCATGGAGTGGAGACGAATCTCTTTTCTTAACTCTTAATATTCTCTCCGCAGTGAGACGGACTTGTACGAATTAGAGTCCTAGAATAAAACCATGATATATTCACGCTCTCACTCGTGAATGTCTCTGACGAACTAATATTTCTACTAAACACTCTTTAAGCTTACTCTGGGAGATTTGCTGGTTTTTCTTGCGTGAAAAAATTAAGAATAAAAAGGAGAGACGATATTTAAAGAGAAGACGTGGATAAACTTTCCCGTAACGTGTGCTCGTTAGTGGGGATTTGGCAAAGATCTCGGAAAGTTTAATTTACGAAAACTTATCCCCCAAGACTCACTCTCTCTCTTTTATTAAAATATATGGCGAGGAATAAACAGTGACGTTTTTTCATTTGTTAAACAAACTACTTGTCGTTTTAAATAAAATTGCATGCTGTTTTTTTGAAGTTTAAATGGCAAAGCGTTGGACTTAACTGGGTCTAAAAATATAACTTCTTGTTGGGCCAAGGGTCCTCCACCCAAGCCCCAGCCCACACCACGCCGAGCCAGCCGGACAGCGGTGGCGCGGCGCGCGTGGGGAGTCATCTCTTCCTCTTACTCGTTTGAATCAAGGTAAGTGTGACTCCATATATATACTCCTCTCTGATGCTAGTATTACCCGATGTGGGACTTTGGTGATTTTGTCACTTAGACAAAATTGCAGTGTTTATGAAAACACTATGCTACCAACTTCTTTGCATCATTTCTTATTCAACTTTGAAATGTTTTTAAAGTGTGAATATACATTGTTGTATTTCTCATTACAAGCTTTACAACGAGCTGATGATCTGACCGGAACGACCACCGGTTTGGCCGGAAAAGTTGCCGGAGAATTCGAAAAAAAATCAGCCTCTAAAAACAGTGTTCCAACAAAATCAAATCACGAATTAGGGTTCTTACTCTAATCAGAGAGGGATTTAAGGACCAAACATGAAGTAAGAGAAGAAAATAGAGATAATGGAAAAGATAGAGATTACGACTGGGTATACCCAAAAGATATAACTCGGCTGGCCGTGGACGACGAAAGTTACAGGTTTTTGTGGTGGAAGCCATGAAGAAACTGACCGCAAAACACGACGGATGAGAGATGGAGACAAAGAGACAATGAGTTCGAGAGAGACAAAGATAGGTGGAGAAAGAGACTCCAATTTACGATTCTGAGAAGTAATACAAAGCCATTCCAGAAGTGTTTTGGTGGCAGAATATTCTTTTTAAGTGTTAGACCCTACAATTAGAAAATTAAGGGGGTTCAAGAAAAAAAATTTCCGCTATAATAATATAGCGTTTTAAATTGACAAACGCTGTAATAAAACAAACGATGGTATACAATAGCAGAATTTTCATAATAATCTGATGCTATTAATACCCACATTTCTTGTAGTAGGAAACAACAAGCGGAGCCGGTAAGACCGTCGGAACACCCATCGAAAAAACTAATCAATTTATTCTAACACCTATACATACCCGTACACTAAATCAAACATCTCATTCGTGTTCGCCGAGCTTTTCTTATTACAAGTGAAAGACCATAAGAGTAAATCGGAACTTACAACGGCTATAAGTCGCGTCGCCGACTGATTCTATTTAGGATTCTGCGAAGGTTAATTGCGATCTAATGAAGCACGGTTCAAATTTGAAAGAGCGATGTCGTTCAGAAATCAAAACCGAGTTGGTGGAAACGCAATGGCCAGAAACTAGAAGAGAATGTTCGCTTTTTCACGTGGAATAAGGTAAAGTAACTTGTTAGAATGTGTGATTAACAAATCGACACGAATAACTTTTTAATAACAAAAATAATTTTTTCTTTTTTTTTTGTAGGTTTCTCCGGTAATTACCAAAGATAATATGCAATATTATATACAAGAGGAGATATGTATCAGTGAGATAGGTCTTTTTGTCATTGAGCTAATTATATTTTTTTAAGGTTATGTAGCCCTATTCCCCTTAAACTAAATCTCTGTTAGAATTGTAAAAAACTTTGTATGGTTAGTTTACTTGAAAGTTTATCTTCTCTTTCTGGTTTCATATCATTTTTGGAAGTGTATACAGCGTTTTGTTAAATATTATCAGAAGGCATAAAAATTATAGAGATAATTGGCTAAAGTGCCCTACTTGGCACCTATAATTAGAAAATTGCCCATGATGTGACAATCACTTTCTTTTGGACCATTTTGTCCTTCTCTACACTCTCTCTCCTCTCTTTGACATCTCCCCTCTTTTTTTTCTCTTCAATTCCTAATTATTTTACAAATCTCTATCATTCTATATACAATTAAATTTTAAATTTCATTATTTTTTCATAAGTGGCTTTGAATCCTCAATTTTGACCTTTTTTTTCTCTCCAATCCCTAATTATTTTACAAATCTCTATCATTTTATATACAATTAAATTTTAAATTTCATTATTTTTTTCATAAGTGGCTTTGAATCCTCAATTTTTTGATGATATCAATTTTCTGGGTTTTAGATTCGACGTCGTGTTAGCGGTTAACAAATATTGTAGACGTTAACAGAAGTGTTAGGTGTTAACAATTATTTTTACGCTTCGCGTTAATAAATGTGTTAGTTGTTAACAAATATTGTAGACGTTAACAGAAGTGTTAACTGTTATCAATTATTTTTACGCTTCGCGGTAATAAATGTGTTGGCTGTTAAAAAATATTGTAGACGTTAACAGAAGTGTTATATGTTACAAATGTTTTTACGCTTCGTGTTAATGAGAGGAAAGAGAAAGGACATTCTCGGCATTTCCTTGCCAAATGGTTGTGTCAGTGTCCTTCATATCTAATCAATGGTATTTTGCTAATTTAAGCTTAAAATATGGATAATTCATTAAATCACTCAAAATTATATACCTACCAAAGTACCAACTTTCAGCCCCCTACACATTAGAACAAAACAACTGGCATGTCATTATTGCTAGGAATAAAAAAAAATTAAACGTGTCCCACAACATACACAAAGATAAAAGAGAACCAGTCTGTGTCTGAAAGTTGTGTTCACAATCTATCTCTCACTTTTCTCTCTGTAAAGCAACAACATTTCTCTTTCTTCATCTTCTTCAGTCTCTGCAACATTAAGACGAAGCCATGAGCTCCTTAATTATGAGAACCCTTCAGATTCGTAAGCCCGCTTCCCTCCCCGTCTCTTCCACCTCCACTGACGCTTACGAACCGGGTCTTCTCCGCCGTCGTCTCTCTTCTCTCTCCCTGAATCTCTCCCGTAACCAGACTTCCACCGATGATTTACAAAGATCCAAATCTGTCTCAGCCATTGGAGAGCAAAGAGGTAGCTCTGTCAAAGAATGGTGGAAATGGAGTTGGTCATTGATTCTCTTGAAGAAACTACCAATCTTTTTCACAGATCTTGAGTTTAACGAGAACCAAACCAAGTCATCGTTGGGGAATCAACAGAGAGGCGGCTTTGTTCAAGTTTTCGTCAGGCTCCGTTCTGAGATTCGCCGTCTATTCCGTATTTCCTCCTCCGACTCTCTCCCTCTCTCATGCAACCGATGAAAAGGATACATTTTTGTGTTGTGGCCGATCTCCTCATATTCTTTATTAAGTCATTCTCATTGAATGTTTAAACTTTGGTGTGTAGACGATTTACTCATACTCTTTGTTAGCAAAAAATGTCTTCATATGTTCTTACTTCCTATGTGATTGATGAAGTTATTTGCTGTAATTCCTAGATTTTATCATTTTTAAAACAAATTTTGTTGTGAAATGTAAAATTATTTCAGTTGTTTTGTACTAAAAGCGATGCAATTAAACGTTAACCGTTGCCACAGTTACTTACTTGGCTGGGGATTTAGTCAAAAGAAAAAATTACTGGCTGACCGTCCATGGCAAATGGGTCACCCACGCCCGCTTATTCGGTCTGGTCCATGGACCCATCTCGTTCCAATGGTTGGTCTGTTAGTTTTCCAAGGCTCTAGAGTCATGTTTAATGACCCTACAACCACTACTTGACATTTCCCCGTGCTTTGGCTTCATTTATACGGTATCGTAAATCTTTTCACGATAGGTCATCTATCCTTTGACTATTTCAGTTCAAATACGCTTAACTCTAGAGTTTTCTCTGGATGTGCTCCCGAAAAAGTAAGTGCACTTTAGTGATATAGGTAGTCAAATCAATCATCTTAAATCTTTCCATATATCACAACTTGGGATGTTACAATTTTTTTAAAAGACGTAAGACGAAATATGATTATCAATGATAATAAAATTTGTTTCTTATTAATTTAAACGATTAGATGAAACTAAAAAGAAGGTGATTGTAAAAGCAACCCCGTTAATAAAACCGGGGGTTCGAATTCCTAGGATAGGTTTTCTTTTTAAATTTTTTTCGGTAACATTTAAAAGAAAATTAAAAAAAAATATCATGGATCACCACATATCGATGGGGTCTATGAACAATAATGAAACGAATTCATAAATTAAATAGGATCCGTGATTATTATAATACTTTTTTGGAATTGGTGAGAGATTTGGGTATGAATCCCTAATTGCAATGCCCTAAGAGCTATATTTTAGGGTTTACAAAATTTTATATATGAAGTTTGTATGTGATATGCTCCAAAAAAAAAACTTCAAAACTCACTTTTAAATTATTTATATTTTATATTAAGGTTCTTATATTTATCATAACTAGTTCAAATTTATATAAGTTTTATAAATAACTATCGCATATATAAAATTATTACAACAATATTAAATGATAAAAAGTTACGCTAAAATATGAAATTATTAATAGAAATATATAATTAAAGATTAAACTATAAATAAAATACTATATTGAATCTTGTAATATTGTTGTTGT